CGTGAAACAAAGCAGCCAGGAGCCTGGCTTAGTGGCCCAGTGAGGTAGTGACTGTTCTGGGTGGAGTGAGCTCTCTCTCAGGGTTTGGGCTTTTCCCTAAATAAGTGATAGCATTCCTTGAAGATCACTAGCTTGCACCATAAGACAAGACATTATCCTTTTACTGACCCTCTACCCAGCCACAAAAACTAATATATACGGTAGTTTAATACCAAATAGAATGCCACAAGAGTGCTGGTCTGTGAAACATTAGATTCTGACACTGGCTGCAACCCTAAGTGAGCAGTGCATAAACTGTGCCACTGTACAAATTGCTGTAAGAAGCATTATTTATGACTCAGATACACCTCTGAATCACAACTCTTGTTCAGGTCCCTCCCAGTAATAATTGACTGCTCACTCATGCCAGCAGTTATTTATAAATGCATCTTACATCAGTCCTTTGAGGAAACCTAAATCCTATTGGCATTCACTGCACAACTGAATAGTCATTCTCACCTTCATGTTACTACAGTATTGAATATCTCTGCCCTTTTGTCATCTCATTCCAGTTCTCTCAGCAATATATTAAACATCTACAAGTTCTAGATCCTTTATTCTTTACTTTTAATTTCCTCGTGTTGAAATACTGCATCCATTTCACAGATTACTCACTTTGTGTATAAAAGTCATTATGAATAGGGTATGGACCAGTATGAGCATTAACAATAAGAGCAGTCCTGCCCCAGTGATCAATGTAAGTTTATTGACTTCAACAGCAGCTGGATCAAGCCAATATTTTCTAAGTACTATCTAGTGTCAGCATCGTTTTTCCTGCTCTCACTCTCTTTTTAGGTTTAGGTTTCATTTCTTTAGTTTTTAAAGTACAGTGGTTGTGTTTATCATCTCATCCTCTTTTATATTTCAACATTTTTATTTGGGTTTGTTAATAATTTCCTAACATAAATGTCTTCAAGAAAACCCAATTCATTGTCTCTGTCATCCTCACATATTTTGTTGACTGTTCTTTGCATTCACTTTTTTTCCTCACCTTTCCCACCTTTCAATATATGTCTAAAAGGTGGTGGTCCTTCTAAACTTCCATGCTCCTTTCTCACATTTTTGCTTTAGAGGTTAGGTTTTTTGTGATATATTTTATTGGACCAAGTATATATTTGGGAGAGCTTTCAGGATCAAATGCCCTACCTCAAGTCTGAGAAAGAGGCAGACACAAGCTGAGCCATTTATCAGAGTAAAGCTTCCATTGCAAATACAAACAGTTTGCTTGGAGGATGGAAGAGGGCTGTGAACTAGGAGTGAAGATGTGTTATAAGGAGCTGTAATGAGACCAAAGACATGCAGTAGAACAGGTAGTCTAGTTAGTGGCAAAGTCAGGCCATTGAGGAAAGGAGAGTGTAGTTTAGGCATTATTATTTTATGTGGTCTACCTAGTGCATTAATTAAATCAAGTCTTTACTTCTGCTTCTTCTCTACTCTATCATTTTTAATAAAGGCTTTACTGCTAAGTCATGCAAAGTAATTCTTGCCCTTGCTTGCTTACTTTAAAATTGAGATGGATCTCCTCTGTAATACAGTCACAGGAACAGGAAAAAATGGCTGGAGGACAATGCAGAGGTTTCTGTATCACTGGGCACAGCTACATGTGCAGTTAATGCTATTTGACTGTACTACGCAGTAAATTTGTCTACAGTAAATTTAGTACCTGCATATGGGATGTTATAAGAAAAAAAAACTTTAGTCTACTGCATATGCAAAAGCAAGTGGTAAATTTAGTGTGCAGTAGACTAATTTACTGCATAGTAAGTGCCTGCACATGTAGGCAGTGATGCTTTACTGCACAGTAGATTAGTATACTGCACAGTAAATATCTCATATAAACATGACTAGTGGGAGCAGAACCCCAAGCTAGAATCCCAGGTCCCCTCCTTTCTAAGCTAGCAGCTACATATGTGTCCACATTGCTGGGAAATAAAATGTTTCCCTGCACTTAAAGTGCCACAATTGCCTTAATTAAAAAACTGCCACTTAGGTGACCACAGAGAAATAGAATTCCACTTTTTGATTCAAAAAGAAAATGTTAAGTATTGCACACTTTGCTACTAATACAGTATCAGTACCACAGCATTTGTAATCGGCCATCAGAGTTCAGAAAGTGAGTTCTTCTGATTTGACAGTTTCTTCCCCTAAGGTGGTGTTTACTATTCTTCCCTTTACTACCAGAGCTTACCCAGAATCATCATTAGTTAAACAAGTGGGTTTGTTTGGAAGGGAGTTCTTGTTATTCTGCATGTTAGATTTTAAGGTCAGAAAACGATCATTAGAGCATCTCAGTCTGAACTTTTGTGTATCACAGACCATTAAATGTCACCCAGTTACCCCTACACTGAGCCCAAAAACTTGTATTTATCTTTGGAACAATATAACTTGCTGAGTTTCAGTCAGTGGGGGCCTGGAAGCTCAGAGCATGCACATCAGCCAGGGAGCCAGAGGTAAGATTTCTAGCTGAGAGATAGCCAGAAGGAGGGATTTCTGCGTTTATGTTTTAAACTATTTGTGGGGGGGGGTTCTTATAATATCCCATTTTTAAAGCTGTAACGCAATCACTGAGCCTGAAACTAGAAATAAATGGTCCATAACTGAGAGCTTGAAACAAAACCCATCACCACAAAAAGAGTTTTTCTCTTTAGTTAAAAGAGACAGTCTTCAAATATGTCAGTTATAGAGTCCAGAGCCTGGTCTTGGCTACAATGATTTGTCATCTTTCTGCTTACTATATTTCAGTAATTCAATAACCCCATTACTGTATTAAATAATAATAATAGTGTTTTATTTGAGAAACAAGTCATTTGTCACATAGTGAATATGTTATAGAATAGCCTAGTGTTGTTTGATAAATTAAATGAGTCATGTAAAGGCCTATCCAAATTTGAAAATAGAAATATTTTCTCATACGCTGTATTTCAACATGATTTTTGCTATCAGTGTTGTCCCATTATCTCCTTCACAGTGATGGTTGTATTTTGTACCTTCTTTTGATACATGTGCCATTTTAAAATAAAACGAAGTAAAAAAAAGAGTAAGACATGAAATCAAAAAAGAGTTGGAAGCAAAATAAGAATAATTACAAGAAAAAGCATAATAACACAATCAAACAGTGGCCAGGGCTGATAATTCTCTGATACAACATTAGTGGTGATATTATGAGCCAGGAATGTTGTTATGAGACTTTACTGTATTCAACCTTAAGAAGGAAAAAATGAAGCTTTGTTTTGCTTCTTCAGAAAAACTGCTAAGTAAGACAAAACAATAGTTTCTTCTGTCATTACAGACTTCTTTCTATGTTAATTTCAATAGCATTCTTATTCAGTGATGTTTTCTTGCAGGAAACAGTTGAAGTATTTTTTAAATATCCCTCTGTGAAAGATGATTCAGACCTTGAGGGAAGAACATCCTTTATGTGGGCGGCTGGGAAAGGCAGTGATGATGTTATCAAGACTATGCTAAATTTTAAAGTGGACATTGATATCAACATGACAGATAAATATGTTGGCACAGGTAAGGCATGATTTACAGTAAAGAAAAATTAAATGCCTGCATTAATGCAAAAAAACCCCAAACAAACTAGAAACAGTTATAAATTATTACATATACGTAAAAACCTCAAAATGGAAACTCTTTGGACCATCAAGTCCTCTCTCCTGCACTCACAGGCAATCACCCAAAAATACCCTAAAACCATCACATCAAACGCTTACCCACAATGACCAGGAGCACTCTCCAAAATGCCGAGGACCGCCTATAATATCCCAAAAGTAAAAGCAAGGGAGATAAACACACTGCCAGTGCCCTGCCACTGCAATGTCAGGGAAGTGGTTAGTAAATGTGTGCTTAGAAGATCGTAGGCGAAGGACCAAGCCCTACATTGCTGTAGAAGGCCAAAATCTTCACAGTCTCTTTCAATCTGACCTAGGGAAAAAAAATCTTCCTGATTCCATAATTGGTATGACTGTGAATAGAAAAGCAAGGCCCTTTTCCATGAGCCTCTGATTTTTCTGAGTACTGGTGGGTGCCACAGCATACCCCAGCAAAAAGCACCCAGTCTTCGCTGTGTCTAGCATCCCAGTGGAAAGTGGAAAGATAATCCAGAAGCCAAGTAGCATTCACAAAGGGAAAAAAATCCTTCTTGCCCAAAATTGTAAACCAGCAAAAGCCCTGAGGCTTGAAATTGTTAGACAGCTACAATGCTACAAGAGTTTTCTCTGTACCCCAATATGGGGACTACAAATTCAGGATTTGACAAATAACCAGGGATCCTGGTTTTTTCTGTTTAAAAATCTCAAATTCTCTGATTTAAAAAAAAACAAATTCTCTGATTAGAAAACCCCAAATCTGTGTTTTTCCACAATTAAAATAAAAAAACCCACTATATATGTATAGGTATCAGTTGAACACAATGTTTTATTGATATATTTACAATTTTAAAGTGATGTGGAAGCCTACCAGTGCCTCAATCATTATAATAAAATTAATGTTAAATACCTGTATATTTTGGCATCTGATTTGTGTTTTTTTATCATAGAAAATCAGAGCTACCCCTGCTCCCTTCATTCACCAGGATGCGGGTCCACCTGCAGCTGTCCCCCCGCCCCCACTTTGTGGGGCTGAGCAGCCCTGATATGCCAGTGCCCTCCCCACACAACCCACGGCCCCCCCAGCCCTGCTGGGCCCCTTCACTCCCAACCCACAGTCCCCTGGCCCTGCTGGTGCCCCTCACTCCTGACCCACAGCCCCCTGGCCCTCTAGGTACCCCTCACTCCCCATCCACAGCTTCCTGGCCCTGTTGGTACCCCTCACTCCTGACTTATAGTCCCCTGGCCCTGCCAGCCCCCTCACTCCCCACACACAGTTTCCCCATCCCCCAGACCTACTGGTGCCTCTCACTTTCAACCCACAGCCCTCTGGCCCTGCCAATGCTACTCACAGATTCATAGATATTAGGGTTAGAAGGGACCTCAGCAGATCATCAAGTCTGACCCCCTGCCCCTGGCAGTAAAGAGCGCTGGGATCAGATGACCCCAGCCAGGTGCTTGTCCAGTCTCCTGTTAAAGACCCCCAAGGTAGGGGAGAGCACCACCTCTGTTGGGAGCCCATTACAGATTCCAGTAACCCTTACCATAAAAAAGTTGTTCCTGATATCTAACCTGAATCTGCTCTTTGTCAGTTTGCGGCTGTTATTTCTAGTTACTCCAAGGGGTCCCCTGGTAAACAGAGTATCTCCTATCCCTTGCTGTCCTCCCTGATGAATTTGTAGATGGCCACAAGATCACCTCTCAGCCTTCTCTTGCGGAGGCTGAAGAGATTCAGGTCCTTCAATCTCTCCTCGTAGTGACTTACCTGCAGGCTCCTAACCGTACGAGTGGCCCTCCTCTGAACCCTCTCAAGGTTATCCACATCCCTCTTGAAGTACAACACCCAAAACTGGATGCAGTACTCCAGCTGTGGCCTCACCAGTGCCACATAGAGCATAGAGGGTAATTATTACCTTCCTGGACCTGTTTGTGATGCACCTGCTAATGCATGATAAAGTGTGGTTAGCTTTACTGATCACTTCTTCACATTGATGACTCATGTTCATCTTGGAGTCAGCTATGACTCTGAGATCCCTTTCTGCTACAGTGCTGCTGAGAGGATCATCTCCTAGCCTATAGGTGTGCTAGCGATTCCTTCTCCCTAGGTGCAGCACTTTGCATTTGTCCTTGTTGAATTGCATCCTATTTTGTTCTGCCCACTTCTCCCGACTGTCCAGATATGGCTAGATTCATTCCCTGCCCACTAGTGTGTTTACTTTACCCCATCATTTGGTGTCATCCACGAATTTGGACAGAGTGCTCTCCATCCTAGCCTATAGGTGTGCTAGCGATTCCTTCTCCCTAGGTGCAGCACTTTGCATTTGTCCTTGTTGAATTGCATCCTATTTTGTTCTGCCCACTTCTCCCGACTGTCCAGATATGGCTAGATTCATTCCCTGCCCACTAGTGTGTTTACTTTACCCCATCATTTGGTGTCATCCACGAATTTGGACAGAGTGCTCTCCATGCCCTCATCCAAGTCACTGATGAAGGCATTGAACAGCACTGGTCCAAAGACCGAACCTTGGGGAACTCCGCTGCCCACATCTTTCCAGGTTAATGCCAACCGATCCACCACCACTCTCTGGGTGCGTCCCATTAGCCAATTTGCCACCCTCCTGACCATGTAATCATCTACGTCACAGCCGCTCAGTTTCTTTATGTGAATAGGATGAGATACCATACCAAAAGCTTTCTTAAGATCCAGGTAGATGATATCTACCTCATCCCCTGCATCTAAGCATTTTGTGACCCAGTCATAAAAAGAAACAAGATTAGTCAGGCAGAATCTACCTGCTATGAACCCGTGCTGGTTGCCCTTCAGCATTATTTTTTTGAACTCCCACAAATGTGATCCTTAATAATTTTTTCAAAAGTTTTCCCAAGGATAGAGGTGAGGCTAACTAGCCTATGGTTACCCTGATCCTCCTTCCTCCCCTTCTTGAAAATAGGGACCATAGTGGTGTTTTTCCAATTCTCTGGGACCTGACCTGAGCACCATAAGTGCTCAAATAACTGTGCCAGTGGTTCTTTTTGACACTAGCCAATTCCTTCAGCACTGTGGGATGAAGATAATCCGGGCCTGCTGACTTAAACACATCCAACCCTTCCAAGTGTCCCTTCACTAAGTCGGCGCTAACAGTTGGTGGGCTGGCTTCCCTCCTGTGATCATCTCTAATCCAATTGGGAGATTTGTCCTGATCTGTGTTCAGGAATACAGAAGTAAAAAACTCATTGAAGAGCTCAGCTTTGTCCCTCCTATCTGTCGCCAATTGCTCTAGTCTGTCCTGTAGGGGTCCAATGTTACCGTGCACCTTCTTTTTGCTCCTTATATCTGTGTAGAAGTACTTTTTTTTTTGTTTTCAATTTTTGTTGCCAGCCTAAGTTCCATTGCAGCTTTGGCCTTTCTAACTGACTCCCTGCAGGTGTGAGCCAAGTAGGTATACTCCTTCTTGGTACCTACCCCTGCTTCCACAGCCTGTATGCCTCTTTTTTTGCCTCTTGGCTTTCCTGAATTTCCCTGTTCAGCCAAGAGGGTTTCTTGGCCCCTTTGCCCCCTTTCATGAGCAATAGGATTGTCTCCTTCTGCGCCTGAAGGATCGCTTCCTTTAGGAATGACCGCCTTTCCTGGACTCCCAACTCAACAATGCCCCCGATCATCAGTGCCTCACTAATCTCCTGGGCAAGTTGAAGTTGGCCTTTCTGGAATCTAGCACTTCTGCCCTACTGATTATCTTTCCTGCCCTTTGCCAGATAGTAAATTCAATCAGTCGATGGTCACTATCCCCTAGGTTACCTTGTATCTGCATATCTGCCACCAGGCCATCCCCTGTAGCCAATACCAAGTCCATTAAGGCATTTCTCCTAGTTGGACCATATAGCTCCTGCATTAGGTGAAGCACCTGTACGCAGGTTAAAAAGCTATGTGAACGGTTAGACTTGGCTGACTGCTCCTCCCAGCAGATGTCAGGGTAATTTAGGTCACCCATGACAACCATGTCCCTTGACCATATGGCCTCTGAGAGCTGCCTTGAGAATTCTAGATCTAGCCCATCCTCCTGGTGTGGCGGTCTGTAATAGATCCCCACTACCAAGTCCCTTTCCTCCCGGCCCCCTTGTATTCTGACTCACAGTACTCCTCAACCCACAGCCACTCCACCACTGCTGGTGCCCCTCACTCATGACCTGCAGCCCCCTACCCCACCAAGCCTTGCCAGAGAAGACCCCCCAGCTGCCAGGGCTACAGGGCTAGGGAACTGGGTCCACAGCCCCCTGCACCTGCTTGGCTGCCACTCTCCCAAAGGTGGCACTGCTGGAGCGGAGCCCATGGGGGGAGGGAAACAGGCTTGCTCAGGGCTTCTTGCCCTGCTGCCCTCCCCCCGGGGCCCTCCACAGCCCAACAGATGGGGCCCAGCATAGGAGGGCATAGCAGGGCAGGGTATGGAGGCTCATTGCTGCTGCTGGGAGCCCCGCATTGCCATGGCAAGGTGCTCCATACCCACTCAGCTGCAGCAAGGGACACAACTTCATGCCGCCACACCTGCTGCTGCCAGACAGGCAGGGGACACCTCTCCATGTTGGCACAGGGCTCCCGACAGCAGCACCATGCCTCCTTGCCCTGCTCTGCCCTGCCACTCCAGGTGCTGCTTGCTGAGCCACAGAATCCCTGGGGAGACGCCAGCAGGGCAGAGAGCCCTGAGCCCGCAATGGGCTGCCCACATCTGCCACCCTCCCATGCACAAATCTGGGGGGCACATGCCCCCCCTGGGAGTGCATGCAGTGGGGGGGAGCTGGCCCCCTTGCCACCCTCAGATGAGACACCTGCTGTTCCATCCTGTTCCCCAGCTGGGCCCTATGGCCGCACATTCCCAGACTCCAGGCCCCATGCACCACTCTGGCTGGGCAGCACCTCTAGCCCCAGCCCTG